ACTAAAAGAAATCAAAGTTCCACACAGTATATTCTTTAATGTGGGCAACGCCCTAATTTGGTTATCACACCTGCTGTCTAGGTGAGAGAAGTGTTCATGTAGTTAAGTCCCAGTAATGGGAACAGGAGAGCTGGATTCTTTTTTTAACTTTGCCAAGGGTATAAAATAAGAGTTTAGATAATTTACATCCCAAGTACAACATTCAGTACTGCAGCATTTGATTTTGAACAAGCTGCCACATCCTTAATATTGATGCCTAAGCTTCCTGTACAGTGAAGTCTCTCACGTTCCGATTTCGCTTGCACTCACTTGGCTGCAAGAGTGTCTAAAACAGACCCGAGTCTTTCCTCAGATATTGGGAAATCTCCACTATGGCTATATCACAGAATTTATTGAGCTGAAACAATGTGATCGTTTCCCTATTCAGTTTCACAACACACCTACACAAAAAGCTGTGACCGCCCATCATGCCACAGGGGCAGGAATGAGTGACAGGACTATAATAAGCCAACACTGCCATGAATGAGCAAAGAGTAAAAAAAATCAGGGAGGAGAAAAAGCCAACCTGAGAAGTCCCTCTCGAGCACACTCCTTAGGAGTTAATCTCTGTTCTCCTGTACCATGGACTGTTTATAGGGGTTGAAACAGTGTTAAGGTGTCAGCCTTTCCCTGGCATAGTGATAATCTGCACATACTTCATCAGAAACTAAAGTACGCTCCCAAGCTGTGAGAAAGCCAGGTTCAAACCTCACACCTCTGCTTAAAAAGAACATCAGAACCATGTATTTAAATCGCCTGCAAAAGTAGCAGCCTTGATAATGGGTGCACATGGATAAGCAGTTTTAGACTTTCCTGTTGCAGTGGGTTCAATGTATTTGAAATTGTAAAATATTAAGTTGTGCCAGTTATACCAATATTGACTCCAGTGATCTTGGCATCCCACTATTTCAAAAACTAATGTTAAAATAGCTAGAAAGGGTCAGACTAAAGTTTTTTAGACAGTAACTTTTATCTTGTGAGTGAGCAATAGCAGAAAACTACCAAAAAAAACCCCATAGAGCAGGATAGGGGCCATCCCCTGAACACACCTTCAGCCATTAGCAACTTGTAAGTCAGGGACTTTGGAGTCAAGTCGTGTCTGCATGTTTATTCTTAAATATATTTTCCTCCACTAAGCATTTCCTTCAGCTGTAACAAACATATGTTCAAATACCTTGTCTGCCGCTTTTTCTGAGCTCAGGTAAATCTGCTGTATCTGTAATACGGACTAGCAAGCATACTGAAGCAGTGCTTTATTGAAGCATTTATACAATGCACAACAGTTTCATCAGAAGAGAGTAAAAATATCAGAATAAATAAATAATTTCAAGTTATATAAACCAAATAAAATAAACATGAACAGAGTAAGTATACAAGTGTAACCTGGATGCTAGAGCAGTCTCCTATTCACCAGTGGACTAACTAAACCCATGCACCCAAGTATTTTATGCACTTTCAGAGCTAAATAGCCATTAGAGAGCACTTGAGGAGCCTCATAATGAAATCAGATGTACAGCAGACGCAGGGTGTCTCTTCTGCGGGATTAGCCCTTTGTGCCTCACCTTCCACATCTGTCGTACACTCCTGCTTCAGAGGAGTGTTGTAAGCCTCAGCTAAGCACTGTCCACCACATAACTTTAAATTTAAATTCAATAAAACATTCACACACATAAAAAGGCACGGCCACCTGAGGTTTTGCAAGACCAGAGGTTTAGTGAGTGATGAGAGTTTTGAAACCTGGGGTGGGGAACACCAGAGAAGCGCAAAACGCGTATTTTTAGCAAGTTACCTCAAAAGCATTTAAAATAAAAAAGGAATCACTTTAGTTTCTTCACTTTCACATTCCTGGTACAAAAGGATGACAGCCTGCAAACAAACTTACAGCAAAAACAAACAAACACCCCCCCAGCTGGAGACTGTCTTTTCCTTCTCTCCTTCCCTTTTTCTCCTTCTTTTCCCTTTCCCCTCTAGTTTCTAACCGCTTTCCGCTCGGCGGGGCCGGGGCTGGGAGCGAGAGGAGGAGGAGGCGGCGCGGGACCCGCCAGCCAGCCTCGCTGTGGAGCAAGGGCGCCGGGCCGCGCCGGGAGGCGGGAAGGCCGCCCGAGGAAAGTTTTCTCGGTGGGGGACGGGGGG